GTTACGTCGTTGATTTCTAAAGTTAGAACTTATGGATAAGTTTGTCACTTCAGGTGACGAAATTCGATAGAATTAGTTGATTGAAATTAGATTAAAATGTAATTATCCCGAAACTAGGTATGGAGTTTATTGTTTTTTTTTCCCCCGGTTAAGTTAATTATTTAGTTCTTATGTGTTACGTGTTAATATTTTATGTAGGATTATTCTATGTGTAACCTTGTGATGTACACAATCTTTTACACCCCCCTAACATGAAGGGGGGGTCCACGAATATTTTATTGTATGTGTGCACCCCTTCATGTGAGGGGGGTGTAAAAGATTGTGTAAACTATTGTGTACACATAACACTTCCCTTTTATGTAAGCTATATCAACTTGTGTACTTACAATATATTATATATATCTAATGCTTTGTGACTAATATATAAGAAATTATAATAATTTAAATAGGTAATTACAAAACCTTTTTGTTATCTATTTGATTGACCTTAAGAATTGATTCCAACACAAACATCTTGGATTCCAAAGTTTCTAATTCGAACTCAATTGAATAACATCTTTGATAACTGAATTGAACATAAATATATCGAACAACGTACATGTATTTAATCCTTTTTTTTTCCTAATGTCATATGGTTGTATCTAATCCAACGTACCAAACATATTTTAAAGTTCTTTATCTTCAGACAAGTGCTCTCTATTTTAAGCTCACTCTTGCATCTTCTACCAAATAATAAGACCAATGAGAATTATCACATAATCCAATGCCAAAATTGGCTGGTTATATGCTAAAAAGATTAAACTACTTGTACACACAAAGTGTAGACCTTGATTGAAACTCTCCCCCGTGTCAAAAATTTGGCAATTGACTAGTAAAGGTGTTGTCAAGATCAATGTGTCAAAATCTATCAACTCACACAAGTGTAAATTATTGTATCAATTTTTATGTACATGTAGCATGGTCTATACTAGAATATGCCTAAATACCAGAAAGAGACAAAATCAGATTGAAGATTAACATAGTACTCTGGGGTCGGCAAACAAAAGATCATTGTCACACAATATGTAACTGTGGGCTGTGATGCCATAGTCCAGTCCACTTAAAGGCAATGATGATTGGCCTTCGGCCCATTCCAATATAACTAGCTTGCTGAAATTGGCCCAGTGAAACCAAGCCCAATACCCGCTCCAAGATCAAGTTAAATTCTGCAGCTGCTTCGAGCCGTTGGATGATAACTAACCACATCTCAAGGCCTTGATATTTTGAGGGTTTCCAATCGTTT